GTGGTTTTAATACTTAAGAATATTCAGACATTGGCCGAAACTCATTAAAATACAAAAACTACATTTCAAAATTAACTCTTGGACTCTGAAAAAATGTGCAATGTCTTATGATAGTAGGAAACAAAACGTGCTGTTAATTGTGGCCTCATGTTGGTTAAAAAGTACAACATGTAAACAATTTTACATAGTACAATAAGTCGATATAGTAATTATTGTGACAAACCAAGTTTTAAACAGCTTAAAATAAACATATTGAATTTAAAGAAAAGCTGCAATTTTTCACTTCATAAACCAGTAACCAGCAAATGTTTTATATTTCAGATTTATACTCAATAGGCGCATTCACACCGCAGTACTTTTCCCACAAAGGTTCATCTGTACTTAGTTCATCAGAACTCTTTAGTTCTCATGAACTAAGTACAGATCGCGTTCACACCGGAATAAATCCCTGGGGGAGGATCAGGCAAATTAAGCCGCTGACATCACTTCTTCCTCTTCTGCTTTGGGTTTACTGGCAGGACGCAAGTTTACAACTAAAAGTACTGCGGTGTGAACACGGCTTATAGGCGGTTTCACACCGCAGTACTTTTCCCACTTTAGTTCCGATATAGTTCCGAAATGTTGCGTTCACACCAAAAAGATCTGGAACTAAAATTAGTTCATGAGAACCTTTTTACCCCTTTTTCCGTCCCTGCTAGAGAGCAGGGACTTTCGTGGGAGAAAAAGGTTCCTATTTCTGATTGGCTGGGCGGAATGCAAACCATGCCCCGTAAAACTCCAGAAAAGTTTGTGAAGCCACCATTTTATATCCTAGCATTATTAGCATTGGCATTAGCATTAGCCCCGCGCACCAATGGAGAGAGAATAACTTATGGCAACACAAAAGAAAACATGGGAGCGATGGAGATGAGGAGGTGTCGGCGTTCTGGCGATTTACTCGGAAGCCAGTCCCCAACTCCGGGGACTTCCGGCCGGGGACTTCGGGTGGCAGTATACACCGTGAAGTTGTTTGCGGCCTGCCAGTAAACCCAAAGCAGAAGAAGAAGAAGTGACGTCAGCCGCTTCATTTGCCTAATCCTCCCCCAGGGACTTATTCCGGTGTGAACGCGATATGTACTTAGTTCATCAGAACTAAAGAGGTCTGATGAACTAAGTTCTGATTAACCTTTGTGGGAAAAGTACTGTGGTGTGAACGCGCCTTATGTCACTTGATTGATAAATCAACAACTGGTCTCCCTAGGTTATTGAATCTATATGCAGTTTCTACTTCAATTTTTCAGAAAACGTAGAAACACTTATATTCCAACATGTGCTTTATAGACCATAATCGACACGTTTCCATATCAACCACATCTGAAACTATCTTGCCTTGGAGCTAGAGATCCTCTCTTAAGATCTGGAGGACAACATTGGTAGAAGAGCTAAGACACACAAACACATAGCCACTACAAAAATCAATGAATGGACAACCTGATAATCCACTCCCACCACCAAAACACAACTGGGAGCCAGCCTGGCCCCGACGCTCGAGCTTCATCAAACACACGGAGCCTGCAGCACTGTTGGGATTACATCACTTGGCTGAATACACTCCTGAACAAACATACAGATGATGCTTGTTCAGCAACAACAACAACCTGATGAGAGGCGGTTAACCCACTGTCAGGGGGTAACTAGCACATCTCCACCAGCATCTAAAACTTCACCAAACACGGAGTAGAGTTGACTCTTCAATCCAACGAGGAATTTCCCCCTTTGTTATTAGCATTATCTGATAGGACATGTCATTTCAGAGGCAGATATATTGCCAGCCACTCAACAGTAAAGTTAGGGTGCAAAGAAACAAAACACACAGTCGTGAGACACTGCCCACACACACAAGTATCCGCCATTGTGAGTCATGTAAAAATTACACTCAGTATCTCTAGTTTCGGCAGCAGAGGAGTGGGGTTATGGCTTTGGTCCTCTACTACTGTTGGTTTTGATGTATATTGTTCTGACATCTGACACAAACAAACACAACAAACTGGATACGGAGATGCAGGAAAATAAAATCATTGTTTATCCTGGGAAAGATCATCTCTCAGTTTGTAGACCACCTGGGAGTAATTAAACCCCACTCTTCTTCAAATAATAGCAGCTGCCCTGTACGTGCCCTGCTTAAATGGTAGCTGTTGAGAAGAATTATTATTCAAATATTAAATCTCTATTGACAGAATTCCATATCGTATTCCGATTTTGTGGATTCTAATAAGGTTTTGATACAACGTGTTGGTTCCTAAATTCATCTTTGTGACTTGAACTGCCATCCCACATCCACAAATGAATCCTGCTCAATCTGCAAAAAAGATAGCAAATCACCTCTAGTTGTCGCTTGAGCACAAATGCAATATAAAATGGCCATAACCAAGTGTTCCAAACTGATTCAAATGTGATTTAGAGCAAGTCATCCCCGTGAAAACAGAGTCAAATCACAGCCTATCAGCAACTGTATTCTGATCATCGAGATGTTCATTTAAAGCAGGTTCACAAGTGTACAAATCTTTACTAGCATGTCTTAAATTCATGTTCAGGTAATTGTATTTTTACCAGTATAGGTAGATTTGGTTTGGAGTTAAGGGGATCCATTATGGATAAGTCTTTAAAAAGTGAACCCCATGCTCCATCACATTTTCAAACCACTAGTACCAACATTAACCAATCATATGGAGTTTGCATTGTTTGTGTTTGACTGCTTCATTGTGATAGTATGTTCTATAATTCATGTTCCTGACCCCTATCTCTGTACCTTCTCTCCTCAGTAGAAACAGACCCGTTAGCTTCTCTAAACACAGGCGCTCAGATCCCTCATTGGACCGGCTCATAAATACCACCCTGCACTGATTGCCCCCCAAGCGACTATTGGTCCCCTCCAATCGGCCCCCCAGCAGCAGGTCGCTCGGGCCCTCTGCTCCTCCTCACTCCTGCTGACTCCATAATGATGCAGCCTGCTGATGACAGGAAGAAACCCCGCTGCTGCTTTCTGCACGATGGCATTTTCATAATCGACCCCCGGCGCTCTATTGCCAAGCAGTCCGGCTAATGGTCATGTTTTTTTTGTTCCATTGATTGATATGCAGACGTTGTGTGCCTGTAGTATGTCAGAACATGTTGCAAGGTCATATATTGCAAGGTTGGCTATTCACTGTCTGATGATATACTGTACATTATAGGAAATCAGCAAATCCTCACATTGGAGAAGCTGGAAACTGAAAATGTGTGTTTTTTAAATGACAATCTTTGTTAATTATCATAAATGTTTTGCCAATTGACTTATGACTTCCCCTCTTTTCAAATTGATGCAGATCTGCCCATCGTTTTTCTCCTCCCTCAACATCGTGTTTCTCCTCCCTCAACATCCTCCTCCTCCTCCTCTTCCTCCCTCTCTGTGGTGTCTCTGGCTATTGCTGATCCGAAGAAACCTCCCACAGGTCACAACACCAGGCGCGTCCTCCTCCCTTTGTAACATCGCGCCCTCATTAGAGCCTTTCCAGGTGAAGAGCGAGTTTTTTTGTGCTTTCATGTAGCAGAGAAAATCAGATATATTACTCCTACTGTAGGCTGAGTTCTGATGTCATGTGACACCATATTGCCTCGGCCACACTAGGAAGCATGAACTCTGTTTAACCCGACCTTCACCAAACGCATCTTTGGCTCAGTGAGCACACATGGGCTTTTTCTCCTGCATCCACGAACACCTCTCAGGTACCAGGAAGCTTTTAGGCAGTCCAGCTCTCTCCTGGAGTGTTTCTGTAAACAGGTGGAGTTTCTTCACATGAAGGAAAACCCTTGTGATGCGTTCGCTGCCTGAAATCTACCTCACCTGGACAGATGCCCCGAGCGCAGTGAAACTGAACAGTACCCAGAACAGTTACTGTTTACTCTCAATACTGCAACTAGTTTAATCATGAGCACTCCTTTGGGGAGACATTTTGAGAGCCCCCACCTCTTTAAATAAGCTCACACAGGTAATGTCTACAGATACTTCCAGGAGCATTTCCCACAGATGATGGTGACAGCTTCTCCTCTGCTATCTCGTGTAACTAGCTGAACTGCCAAGGGGCAAACTGTCAGTGAGGTTTGGTCACAGAGAGGTGGAATAGTAATAACCGGAGTTGGAGGGAAGGTTCACTACACATATATCAAATGAGTGCTTACACTGCCAAGTAAACGATTGGAATAAATGTTTTTTTTTGCTGTTTGAAGAGATCATATTTGACTTTTTTATCATTTCTGACACTTGAAAATCATTATTCTGTTTACCTATAAATAAAGCAATCATCTGTCTTTCTAAACAGACCTGAGTTTCTGTGAGATAGATTTTCAACCATCAGTCAGGCTAAGTGACCCAGCACTTTAAAGGAAATACACTAATAAAAGCCTCCTTAGGGGGCAACCTGTGAGTTAGGAGGTGAGGTCACATTGAGGTGGAATTAACATGACTGACTAGTAGCATTCCTGCTAAAATAGCATTGTAATAAACCAGAGGGGAAGGGAGGTTCACTAGACATAAATCAAACGAGTCCATACACTGGGTAAACAATTACAGTTGAATTAATTGATGATCAATTTGACTGAAGAAAGGGATTCGAGTAAATCATATTTTAATATTTCTCATACTTTGTAAAATCATAAATCTGTTAACCTAAGGAAAGCAATCATCTGTCTTTCTAAACTAGCCTCAGTTTCTGTGAGTTAGATTTACAACCATTACACAGGCTAATGTTAGTGTTCCAGCACTTCTTTTCAAGGAAATACACTAATAAAAGCCCTTTTGGTATCACCTAGTGATCATGTCTTTATCATAAATCACTTTGACACATGACAGAAAAGCCACACCACCCGGGCTCAGTGAAGTAAGTTAGCCTGTCCTATGAAGCCTTCCCCCGGTGCAGCAGGTGTCCCTCCGCGGCAGGAGGACGCCAGGTCAGCGGCAGGAAAACAAACAAGCTCCGTCTTACCTTGTAGACATTCTCCGTTATACGGTGCACCTCGTCGGTCCGGGACATCCTTGTTGGAGCGTCAGTCAGAACCATAGACTAAAGCTTTCCTATTAGGTGAGGTCGGGATGCTTTTCCGAGCTGTGGCGGGAGAAATAACGCAGCTGCTGGCGGGGACTCGCGGCTCTTGTCTTGCCTGTGACAGAGAGACAAGCTCGGTTGGCCGTGGGATTCCTGCTTTTATAGGAAAGTCCTCCGCGGCGCCCACACGGCTCCCCTCCGCCGGAGCCTCCCGTCGGAGCGCAGAGGCGGACCCACTTCAGAGGGGCGGTGCTGCCTTCAAGGGCGGTGGGAAACAGCAGCCTAAAGATTGGATAAATCATGCTAGAAAATGTAAATGTATTGTACAAGAATGCATGCATGATGCACATAAAAAGTAAGTAAAGTGAAGGACTACATTGTGGGATCAAATGGCAGATTCCATAGCAAAAAGCTTTGAATATGATCATTTTTGTGTAAAAAAAATAAAAACAAGATAAATTGTTCAGTGTTTTATCACAAGAGTTGTATTCCTGAAGAAAATGTACATGGTCAAATGAGGTCAACTCTGCTGCTGGTTCCCTATATTAATGATAATAATAATATTAATAATGATAATAACCTGCTACTTTTATTGTTTAATTAAACATTAAAAGTAGCAGGTTATTATCATAAAAAAATCAAACATAAATGCATAAAACTCAATATTAATATTGAGTTTTAAAAAGATAATTAAAATGTGATTTAACCACCCATTCATTATACATTGCATTCCTTTCTCTAAATGGTGTACAATTATTTCACACCCACGATTGATGTAGGAGAACTGTATTTAAATTAAACAAACTATAATTTTGCAATTTTCAACATCGAGCAACATCATTGAGTAATTGGAGTACTTTACTATGGAAGAATTTGATAGGCTTACTTTTATATTGTGCCTCAATAAGAACTTGAGTGCTTTGAGGCACACACAAAAATCCAAAATGCCAAAGGCTTGAAGTCATGTGGATATGACTAAAGACATCGGTAAATGAGTACAGTCTATTATTTTTCTGCCTTTTGTTTTATGACTAGTACTAATTAATTCTAAACAACCTCAACTTGAAGACACTAGGATTTTACGGTGAGTCCGTGAATGCAGCCTATAATTTAAAATCCTCGCCTCCTCCGCTGTCACGCGCTACCCACGCCGCCGCCTCTGCTGCATCCATTCAGAATACCCGGGCAAGCATCTCACAGGAACAGAACAGAGCAGTCTACACATTTAATAAGAAGAATTATATCTACTCCAACATTCAAGCACTGTAACATTTCATGATACTCCTTAAGGCACTTGAATTTAGGATGTAGTCTATGGTGTTTATTGTTTTGGATCCTGTCAATGTCTACTTCTGTAGGGCTGAGGTTGATAATGCACTGTCATGTACCTGGAGGTAATATAACTGTTGATCCTTTATTTGTTTACCCTGCTCTATATTTTTGTGGCTCCACTCCTTTTGGCTCAGTGGGTTTTGGTTGGTATGAGTGGGATGGAGCCACATTTTCTTGGATTACAAACCTTGTATGGTGGGTTGGGGAATCCCACACAATTCAACGCATCACGATCTGAAGGCCTTTGAATGAGTAAAAGCACAGAAGAAGATAACAGAGAAGCAGCAGTGTGTCACGCCTTTTCTATTCTGCAAAACAAATTTTAGAGAGATGTTATATGAGATATATTCAAGGGCTGCTGGTAGATAATAAAGTGGAGCATCAATAAATCACCAGAACAGACCCCATTTTGCAAAGCGACCAAACTGACACATTGAAAATCTATCAGGCATGTTTGATCTTTACCAGTGCAAACAGCATCGCTCCCTCTGTCAGACAGATATTGATGTATTCCTCTAAGTGTAGGCTACTCAATTCATGCAGTTAGTTTCCATGATCAAATATATGTGTTTGGTGATTGCCAATCCAACTAGAAGTCTAATTGTACACAAATAAATTAAGAACATGATTGTTGATTATGGTTAGCTCAAGTACAGCAGAGCTCTAGACCTCTGACTCGAGTCAGGCATTAATTCTCAACAATCAGGACATGTGACTTGAGAGAGAAGAGAAAAAAGTTTGACTTGGAAAAAACTGTAATAATGGAGTCAGTGATATCAAAACACACTAAGAACCAATTTAAAAGGCAAAATCTTTCAAATCATGTCTTTTTATTTATTATTTATTATTGCTTAAGAGATCTGAAATACTTGCATCCGACAATTTGCTGAGGAAGTCTTGAACTTAAAGGATTTTACACTTGGATAATGAGACTCAGTGGAGTATGATGGACTTCGAATCAGGGGATAGCAAGTTCAAACCCCACTGCAGTCAGCATGTTGTTGTGTCCCTGAGACACTTCACCCCAAATTGCTCCTGTGGGGATTGCCCACAGTATTGAGTATGTAAGTCGCTTTGGATAAAATCGTCTAAAAAGTAACATGTAATGTAATGAGATTGCATAAAATAATGACATTTTTTTGCCAATAGCTGGATAAAAAGACTGATACCACTCTCACTAAATGTGCAGCTACAGCCAGTTAGAGTATCTTAGCAGAGGTGGGAGACTCAGATCTTGTTACGATTATTGTGTTATGTCACGTTTTGTATGT